GGTGCCAGTGTGCAGTCCCTCCCTGCGCACACCGTGCGCGGCCATGCAGCATCTGTAGCAGCTTTGGGTGTGGGTCGTGGGAGGAAACGGGATGACTGAAACTTTGGGTTCCTCACAGCTCCTGTGAAGTTTGGGAGCAGGCGGCAGGAGAGCGCAGCTGATGCTCCAGGGCCTTCACCCTGCTCCCGACTCAAGGGGAGACAGAAGGAAGGTGGGGACATCCCCATTCCCAGCGTGGAGACACTGAGGCGGGCAGAGCAGCAAGCCGGGACRGGCAGAGACCCGGGCCAAGCTCCATCTCAGGCTTGTCCTTGGGAGGGGACAGAAGGGCCCATCCTCATGTGGCTGCTGCCGCTGGCGCTTCTGCAGCAGCAGGACCTGCAGCTCCCGAGGCCCTTCCTGGTCCTCGCATGGGCCGGGTGGCGTGAGGATGCCCAGGACTCCGGCTGGGATTCGCGGGGCTGTGTCCGTCTCCTGCGGGAGGCCCAGGAAGGGAACRCGGGGACGGTGCCTCCTGCCTGCACAAACCCGGCTGCTGGTTGGGCAATAAGGAAGTGTGATAAATGACCGAAAAACCCCAAGGCGGCGACGTCACGGCGTTGCATCAGCGCTGGGCAGGGAGATGCTCTGCAGCTCTCCGTGCTGCCAACCGCCCCGCRGCCGGCCCGGCCCTGGGCACGGCCCCGGCGCCCTGCGGAGCGGGAGAGGGGCTGGGAGCTGCCGCGGGCTGCAGGACCTGGCTGCCGGGCCCGTGCTCCGTGCCAGCCCTCAAGGCGTTTTAGCGGGTACCTGGAGCCGAGGCAGATCCTGCGTTGCCCTCTGTGATTCCTTATAGCAGCATCTGTTCTGCCAGGGTGGATCCTGGAGATGGAAACACCTGGTACCACCAGGTGCCAGGAGATCCCAAGGTTTTCCAGCATGGAGACCTCATGGAGACCGTTTTGGCACGGATGCGGCACTGTGCAGCACATGCAGCTCCTGCCATTCCCAGCCTGGACGGCAGAGGACACGCCGAGCTCACATGAGGAGCTGGTCAGAGATGGGGAAAAGCTGCTTTCGGCATCGGGARAACATGCCTGGCCTCCACGAGCAGCAGGAACGGGCTCCCCCAAACCTGTGCTGGGTTCCCCATTGCTGCAGGTGCCAAGCGGGGAGCTATGGGGGAGGAGACCCTGGATAACCCTGGACAGCTGATGTCTCCAGAGTCATCTGTTCCCACGTTGGAAAGGGCTCTCCTGCAGCCCCCCTGTCCRTAGGTCACCCCATTTAGGCAGTGGGGCTTAGCGGGGGGCACAGACCCCCTTCCCACTGCTGCCTCCYGGGATGCTCCGTGCAGGGACCTTGCAGCACAGGCTGCTCCTGCTCTTCCCACACACCACGCAGTGGAGCTGCAGGATGGGTCCTTCCCAGCACCCAAGGATCCTCTGGCCCATGGGACCGGGACACGGCAGGGAAACGGGTGGTTTTGCTCCCGCGGCYGTTTCCTCCCCCCCAAGTGCAGTGGGAAAGCACGAGGAGATGAAGCCAAATGAGATGAAATCAAAGCCCAGCTGGTGGGAGGCTGTCTTGGGGGGAGGCTCGTCCTGTTTTTCTTGCTTTCCCAAGGAAGAAACATCCAGCTGGACTCTGGGGGGCTTTGGCAGAACCCGAAAGGGCAGGAGGCTGGGAGCCGCCGGCTGCCTCCAGCAGGTCCCTCCGGAAAACCCGCCAGCCCCAGGGATTTCTCATCCCACGCAGAGCGCTGCCGGTGAGAGGAGGAGGCCGGAACATCCCAGCTCCAAGCTTCTGCTTTGCCGTGGGGCAGAAGTGCCTCCTCATGCCCGGGGGTGGCATTTTGGGTGTTTTTGGGTGCCAAGCACCAATATGTATCACGAGGCCCCTCCAGCCTGAGCACGGCCGAGGCTGATGGTCTCTTGTGCTTCCCACGAGCAATCCCACGACCTCCTGGTCGCACCTACCGATAGGAATCGACCTCGGCACCATCAGTCCTGATCCCTAGGGACAGGCCTGGCACTTGTTAGCACTGATGCCTTTGGATATCAGGGGTTCTCCGTGCCAGAAGGTGCCAGTGCTTGTTATATACAGGGAGATAAAATACATCATTAAATCACAAATATCATGTAATTTATTGTTAATACAACCCTGATTGCTTTGCTGATCTTCGTGCCTGGACATTTCTTCCCTTTCCCAGGGAAACAACAGAAAGGAGGGACAGTGTTTGGATGCATAAAGAAGGCAAGTTAAGGATTTTACACTGTGGCATAGAAATGTATCCCTAAAACAAATCACTACCTGGTCCTACTTAAAGAACCAGATGCTTGTCAGCTTGGAAACCAGAAAGATCCGTGATCTGTGTCAAGAGCTCCCAGTGTTTTGTGGCTGGTGAGACCTCCCAAAACCTCTTCCAGCAATGAGTGCACACAAGGAGGAACCCATGCTGGTCCCATGGAGAAAAGCTGGGAGAAACTCCCCAGATCAGCCCCGTTCAGATGGAGAGGGACCAGGAGGAGGTCCGTGCTTCAAGATGGACCACAGAGACTCCTGGATGGCAAGACGGGGATAAGGGGCTGAGTCTGGTTTGTGGGGGGACAACTTGGTCCCCCCCAGCACCCGGAGCACTCATCCTGGCTGTACAGTCCTGGTGTCCTGGGGTCTGGTACATCCTGGTACATCCTGGCGTCCTGGGGACTCCTCTCCCATGGGATGAGGGAGATGGAGGATTCATCCCCAGCTGGAGAGGGAGGCAGGCGATGAGGAGGATGGCGAGGCTGCTGCTGCCCACTCTGCTGGCCTCTGAGAAAGGCTGCAACCAAACCYAGAGGCTTTTCCAATTTCAGATGCACTTTTCCTCCCCCATCAGTGCTGTTATTTAATCTCCCGCCTGCCAAACTCCTGGGAATTAATCTCGGGCCGCACTGACAGCGTTTACATTCAGCGCGGCTCAGATAAACCATATCGGCCAGCGCAGATGAAGAGGAGACAAGGATGAGGAAGGAAGGGACACGCTCCTGGTTAGTGTCAGGCCCGCCTGGAGTTATTTTTTCCCCGCTCTCTTGCTTCCTGAGTGGCTTTGCTCCCAAGAAGGAGCTGCCGGGGGATTAGAGAGGAGAAAAGAGGCCCCAGCTCCTCAGCAGGTAAAACAGAGCTGGAGGTGCACAGAGCAAAGCCAGAGCCCCTGTGGGTTGTACCCATGCAGATAGCATGGGGGAAAAAGAAGGGAAACATCTGGAAAATCAACTGGAGACTCCATCTCCAAAGGCTTCTCACCCTGCAGGACCTGGGATGTAGGAGGATCCTGGAGGGCAGCAGGGAYGGGTGGGCCAGGGCAGATCCTGCTCCCGGGCTCTTCCCATGCTCGGCATCCCGGCTGGCCCACRCCGCAGGGAGAACATGGGAGCACTCAGCCCCACAGGGCATCCCTCCGGGATTCCCTTAACCCAGAAAACAGAGGGATTTGGGGRCCATTTGGGCAAGCTCGGAGCCGTGGTGCTAGCTGCACTTTCGGACCMGCTCACCTCTAGCCTAGGTCACTTCCAGTGACTCCCTGGCACTGTCCCCACCAAGGCACTCTGCAGAAAGGGTGCTTGGTCCCGCTATTTATTAAAAGGTCTCTTTGCAGCCCACGCCCTGCAAGTATTTCTCTTTATTACTATTTTTCCTTAAGGGATCCCGCAAGGGGAAAATCCTACTGAAATTCCCATCTCTCTACCAAGCTGTTGGGAAAACAACCCCAACCCCAACAACCCCAAACGTGAGTGATTTCGAGCCAGCTCCGGCCCGGGCGCCTCTCAGGCCAGCACCCTAAGGGCTGAGCTCTTCACGTCCGCACCGCGAGCTCGCCCAGGCTCGCCGCTCCTCCTGCTCCTGCTTTCCAAGCCAAGGCTTCACATCTGGAGTATAGCAGCGTGTGGGCCCTGCTGACCATTCACTTCCGCCTGGAAGCATTTACAGGATGTGGTGGAGACTCCAAGGAYGGTTTATTAATCGCATCAGCAGCACCAGAAGATTTTCCCAAGCAAGGCACAGCAGAAGCAAGGTGGATTAAACCGCGCTGCCCTCTCTGCAGGGGTTGGCTTCTGGTTTCCTTCCCCGCGGTGTTTCGGTCGTGGTCAGCTTGGCTTGCTGTGGCTCTGCCACCTCCTGGCTTCCATGCCCACCGCCCGCCTTGCACTCAGCCCTCGGGCCTGGATTCTSCCGTTAAAACTGCTCCTGGCTGGATGCTGGTGGTGTCCATCCCGATGAAACGAGGTTTGGGGGACCGCAACAAGCATCTGACAGTCGTTCCGTCCCTCAGTCCTCCCGCAGCAACTTCTGAAAGTGCCAGCCAGAATCACCCAGATTTCATGGAGGGCTCTGACCCATCCCTACGTGGGGAAGCAGGGAGTGGAGGGACCCACCGAGGGGACCTGAGACACAACCCAACTCATTGCTGCAGGATCCAGCCCCAGGAGGAGCCGCAGGGGACCAAGCCACAGCGAACCGGGCTGCTGCTGCTGCTGCTGCTGCTGCTGCTCAGGGATCTGCTTGCTGTTTTCAGAGCCTGGGAACCACCTCTTCATCCATGCAGGTCGTGGGTGCTGCATCTTGCAGCACTCCAGGCTTCAGTCCCAGCTCTTTCCCCTGGCAGGCTGAGCGGGACCATGTAGGTCCAGCTCAGCTGGAGCCCTCTGGCCACCACCAAGCCTGGGGACACTTGGGCGCCCGGGTGGATGTGGCCCCGAGCCAAGAGGACCCTCCTCACCCCCAGCCCACGGTGACCCCCCCGACCATGCAAAGAACCCCCAGCATGAAGGAAACCAGAGAGAGAGAGACAGCGGTTTGAGCGATTTATCCACTGAAGATACAAGTTTCAGTTTAATAACACCATTCTGCCTGGTTACAAACATACTAAAACCCTACAAAAAGGAAAGAAATGAAAACCAAAATCCAACGAAAAAAAAACCCCAGTTACATCCATTGCACACTAGACGGCATGTAGGAAACCCGCACGGAAGCGCCGAGGAACACGCACACAAGGAGCACCCGCAGCAGGACCGCTCACGGCAAAGACACGGAGCTAGGCGGGACCGGCTGGAGACGTACGAACAGTTAGAGACAAYGGCAGCTATGGAAAACAGTTAGCGTTACAGTCCGTTACATAGGTCGGGCCCACACGGGGGGCTGCTGTCCCCCTCTTTCAGCGAAGTTGGTCCAAGCTTAGTTAATATATATGTGGTTTTCCCCCCACTTTCCCGCGAGCTCTGCCTCTCTGCTGGCGCCAGGGCCACGTCCTGCAGCTGGGGACAGGGGGGACACAGCAACGTCCCCCCCCCAGGAGCCGGGGGACGCCGGGGCCCCCCTTCCCAGCTCGGAGGGGACCCGTTGGCGAGCGAAGGCAATGGAGGCAGTGCAAGGTCCCTAAGGGCTCCCTTGTCTAAATGTCTCTGGTAGCTCGAGAGCGTTTCTCTAGCCGCATRTATGTATGTCGCTATATATACACGTATATATTTTAGCTGCTAGCTAGTGTGAGGAGGCAGCAAGGACAGGTCTTTGCCTCAGCCCATACCGTGGGCTTCATCCCCTCGAGCGCCGAGGTCGGCCCGCCGGTGACGGTGACCGCCGGGTGGGTGACCGGAGCAGGCGGCGCTCGAGGGAGCTGGGACCGGAGCCCGCTCTGAGAGCGCCCGTGTGCATCCAAACCCCGCGCGCCGCTGCAGCAGGAGCCGTGATTTTCCCTTTCCCTCTGCTCATTCCCACTTTAAGCTCTGCGCTGGGGGCGGCGCGGAGGGGGCGTTTGCTTCATCTCTGCCTAGTCCCCAAGCCAGCTCGCCCTTGGCCGCCCTCCCCGCTTCCTCCACAACCGGTAAAAATAAACGCGAGTTTGTTTGCAACGGGGCTGGTGGAACGGGTCCTTGCGGGACAGCAGCTGCACGCAGCTGGATGTGATTTAGAAAACTATGCCTGGAAAAAAACAAGCCCAAGGCGGGCGCGTGTGTGCGCACGCACGGTCACGCTGCGCACCGGCGTGGGTGCGTGGGAGCACCGGCTTCTCCAGAGAGGCAAAGAAATAAGCCAAGATGATGTGCCATAGTTTTGATCTGTCCCTCAAAAAGACACCCTGTTGATCCCGAGGTTTTGGCACCCATGGGTGAGGATGTCAAAGGAACCTGGCAGACACTCACGTGGGAATTAAAGATTTATCCGGGCGAAGTTTCAGGGGATGCTGAGGCTCTACAACGCACCCACCCCGTGCGTCCATCTCTTCCCTCCCTGCAACCCTCTCACTGTACCCACTGTTCCTGCTGCCTGTGTCCAAGCTGCACTGGGAAGGTCCCGAGCTGGTTCCTGGTGAGGGGACAGGAGGGACCACGTCTGCTCCGGAGGGTCCACCTCTGCTCCGGAGCACCTGGCCCCAGGCAAGGGCAAGAAGGGCTGCATGGCCAGAGCAGGAAGGGGAAGCCTGGCAAAACTGGTTGCATCTAAAGGAGCCTCCAAGCAGCAGCTCCTGTTGGGGCTAGGACAGAGGCACACGGTGGTCATRTTGGCTTCAAAGGCAAAACAGAGGATAAGGAAGAGGAGGAGAAACAACCGCTCAAGTGGCAATTGGGGTGAGAAAGGGCAAGCGTTGGGTCCTCGAGATAAGAAGCCAACGGGACCCTTWCTCAAAGCAGATTGTTGACTGAAGCAGCCCAGGGCTCCCCCTTGCTTGTTGGGGGCTGATACAAGTAGGAGACGGCTCCGAAGGTTTTGGGGGCCACGCCAGCAGCCCCCCATCCTGCCAGCTCAGGGAAAGGGGAGACTTAGGTGGTAGAAACCTGCCTGTCAAGTAAAATTGCTGAAAATTAAGTGGGAGAAGAAGAGAAAGCAAGAGAGGAAAGATTGGGCAAAGGGGCACAGCTGAAAGAACGAGTCAAATAGAGAAGGGCTTCACTGTCCCAGCCTTGCCCCCATCCGTGTGACGGACACAGGGCCATGTGCAGCTTCAAATCAGGTCCTTTGACTTGAGGTTGCCCAGAGGGCCCCCCCACACCAAAGCCACCTATACCAAGGCCTCACCAAGCATGGCTGAGGGGAAACTGAGGCAGCAAAAACTCAGCAGACTTGCCCAAAGCTCCCGAAAGAGACAGCGTTGGAGGCGGGAGGAGTGTGTGAGCTCTCTGCTCCCGCTGCATCCACCCCTCGCCGCGCTCGCGGAGCCCTTTGCCAGGGCCAGGCAGCGGGATTGATGCTCCATGAGGATGAGTGCCGCATCCTGCATGGAAAGACTTCTACCAGGCACTTTATTTGAAGGAACCCAGTTTCATCARGGTGGGAATACGTTCGCACAGAAGGGGTTTATTGACTTTAGCAGAGTGCAGGGACCTCTCATCACATCCAGGCATCTGTCCGGCTGCACTCGCCTCATCTTTCCCCGCTCTGGAGCCCGGTCTCTGCTCCTCTCATGGCAGAGCACTCAGCTCTGCCTCCCTCCATCCTCCTCCTCCCGGGCATCCCGGAGCAGCAGGCAACGGCCCAAACTCCTGGACCCGTGGCTAGCGCACGGCTGAAAGGGGCCACCAGCCCTGGGGCGCAGCYGGGTGCCCTCCTTCCCTGCTCTCACGCTGTAGGCGCCAAGTCTCTCCCGTCCCCTTGGTCCCTCCATGCCCAGGACGGCRCGGCTCACAACAGGAGAGGTGACGTGCCGTGGAAGCCAGGCGTGCCACCCGGGGGTGAGTGCGGATGGGTGGGTGAAGCAAAGCGCCTGCAGCGCCAGCGGGGCGGCCCCGCGGGCCCCCTGAGCATCGCAGCCCGAGAAGCGAGGGGCCGGGGTGGCCGAGGGGCTTCACGCAGCAAACACGGGGCGTTTGGTCCATGAGCCTGCCCGGCGGGACCCTGCAGCAGGGTGGGTGGGTGCGAGGGGGGGTCTCGGAGGCGGCACCAGCGACACGCAGGGTTGGGGAAGGCCAGGGCTGCGAGACGGAGCCAACCATCAGCTCTCCTCTTCCAACATCCCCCGCTTCACCCTGACCCACCTACACCCTTTTTATGGTATGTATATATATTTTTTTGGCTTGTTTATTTTTTTTAACCCCATGGAGATCAAATTGTGACTTGGCAGCTGGCAGAGCTGCCCACAGCGGACTCCCCGGGCCGAGTGGAGACCTTCAGAAGAAGAGACCAGAGAGAAGTCCTGGTGCGAGCGCGTCCCTCCCTGCCCCTCGCCCGTGCCCACTGTCCRCTCACAGGGTGGCATTGGGGTACTGCGCCCAGCCCACCTCCTTGTAGGCCGCCGTCACGTGGGTGTAGATGAGGGTTTTCATCTTGGTCCAAGCAGTGTGCATCTCTGGGGTGAAGTCATCGGCGTACTCCTCAGCAATGACCTCCAGCATGACACCGGTGAGCTTCTGCAGGGAGAAGTTGGGCATGAGGTTAGTGAACTCACCAAGGAGCAAGTGATAATGAATTTAGCTCTGAATTCGCAGAAAGTACAAAAGCAAAGATTTTGTAAAAAAGTATAAAAGCAAAGATCAATCCTGGTATCTGTGGAAACTGCAGCTCTATATTCAGGACCATTCTTGTGTCCCCATGCTYGGCAGTGTTCAAGGAAGAGGTAGAGGAGGCACTTAGGGACATGGCTTAACCGGTGTGGTGTTGAAGGGCTTATGGTTGGACTGGTCCTGAAGTTTCCAGCCATCATGATTCTATGGTTCTAGGACAGACAGACATCTCAGCTTCCCCAGAGACTTATCAGCTCACCTAGGGAGACCGTGGGAGGCTGGAAAACAGACAGATCCCTGTTTGCATCTGAAAGCATTTCCCCTAGTTTTGACACTTTTTAATGTCCCTTCCATCACAAAAGCATCTCAGAGATTTATTTTTTGTTCCCTTCCTTTACCTTAAAGTAGACGGGCTCCACTTTGTGCTTGAGGGCATGGGCCTTGCCCACGAGAGCCAGAATGGAGGAGACCTTCTCTGGGTCACTGAGGTTCTCCACCACGGTGTTGATGGCACCCATGACCCGCTGGGCATGCTTACGCAGCTGTAAGCTCCTCTCCATCTCCAGYGGGTCCTCCATGTGCTTGAACTGGCTGAAATACTGCTTGGCTGAAGGGAAGTTGACAAAAAACCTTTGGAGAAAGAGAAGACACTGAGCACTATCTGGAGCGAGGGGGCAGGGAGAGGCGAACGCAAAGCGAGAGCTGGAGCAGCTGGAAACTACCCGGCTGCATTGAACGGATGGACACAACGGATTTCTCATTGAATTCCTTGGAACTGCAGGGCTGAGTTGTCTAAAAGCCAGAAGGTCACTGACTTCTTTTCTCTCTGCTCAAGGGGTCTCTGAGATGGATTTCCATTTGCCCAGCAGAGGCAGGACTCTGTTCTTTGCCATTATATTGTCACACCTCCCGTAGAGCCTTACATACACGACTGGTATGCCAGATGCATTCCCACATACCAGAAGGTCACATCTCGCCATGGGGACATCTCGCCTCTTCCACCCGAGCCAGCCTCTCGCTGTCTCCTTGCCCAGACCCACCGTTGTTTCTTAGCCCCACGCACTTCACGGTGGTGCTGCCTCCCCAGAGCTCCCAGAACGTCCCAGCTCCCAGAACGTCCATGATCCAGCAGCCTCCGGGCTGTCCCAGTTTTGGCCCGCATAAGGGTCTTGGCTATAAAGGATGCGAGATCCCCCCATGGGGTCAAGCTCCCGTTGCAGCTACTCGGTGCCAGGAGCCTCTTCCCTCAGGCACGGCAAGCGGAGATGCTTGGCACCCAAAACCTTCCTGCCCCGAGGAGCCCCACTGCTGCGGGATGGGATCAGCCCAGCTAAACGCAGCTGAGCCAAGCAGAGGAAGGACCGGGAGCCCCTGCAGAGCCAGGGCTGTGCACCCGCAGCAGGACAGAGCTGCACCCGAGGGTGACGGAGCAAATCCGAGCGACCAGCCCTGCACATCCTCCCCTCCCAAGCCCCACACGTGGCCGCTCACAGCCAGAACTGGATGCCTTTCAACACCCCTTTGMACCGCGGCGAGCAGCAGCAGGATTCGCTCCTTCCTTCCACCCACGGAGCTCCTGCCTCTAGGCCCGGGCGCTGGAGCAGCTGGGCTCCCTCCGCTCCAGCGGCGGGCGCCTCCAAGGTGGCAGACAGCTCCAGGACACTCCCAGGCTGCCTAAATCCCCTCCCCGGGCACCATCCCAATCCAGGCCGGTGTTTTCCAGCCTGTTCCTGACCACGTCTCGCTGCCTCCTGCACCGCAGCATCCCCCTCCGCGCTCCAGTGGCGACCATAGTTCAAGGATGCKGCTCAGTTACCGCTTCGTTTTTCCCCGTCCTCACCCCGCTCCGCTTCTTTCCGCCGCTCCGTCGGCTGCGCAAGTTTGGAGGCATTGCCAAGAGCAACGCGGAGCGGCGAGCGGAAGACACCAGCCCTCGTGTTATTTCCCCGAGACATCTGGGATTCATCAGAGGGCCCAAAATAGGTTTGGGAGGTGGGAAGGGTGCGCGGCGCGAAGGCTGGGGGAGGCAGCAAGGTGCAAGGGAGGGGGACCAGGGGCTGCTTCGAAAACCCACCGGGGCGCCGCCACAAAACGGCTCCCGTTCTTGCACAACCTCCCCCAGGCAGCACGCGGAGAAGCTCCTCCTGCCACAGCTGCTCCCTGTCAGGAGACATTTCCCCGGCCCGGATCCCCGCCGGCTCCTGTCGCCACTGAGGTTTTCAGTCTGTCTCCTTCAGCTCTGAGCTGGCAGAGATGGAGGAGCTGCCACCGGAGCACAAGGCGATTGGGACGCCGTGGTCCCATGCACAGCCACCAGCTCCACGAGCTGCACGTGGGGTGGCCGATGTTGACGCCTCATTCCCGGGATGCAGGGGGGTCCAATCTGACTCTTTCCTAGCAAAGGGGCAGATGTTCTTCTCCGTTTTAACAGGACCCTTTTTTCCTGCATCCTGCCGCCTTAGGGGAGTCCCTTTCCCTATCCCTTCTTCCCTCTCTCCTGCTCCATCCGCTGCCATCCTAGAGCCAGCAGCTCCAGCCGGTGCAGATCGATGCCACCTTCCCAACGTAACATCTAAGCCTTAGCTCCCTTCGAGTGACTCTTCTCCTTCACAGTGAACCAGCTCACTTTCCCCATATTTGGGATAAAAGTGGGACCACCCAAATGATACCCGGGGGCAAGTATATGTTTCTATATGCCAAAGCCTCCAGATGCTGTTCACCACCAAAAAAATCCCTGAAAACTCTCCCTTGAGTTCAGCTCAAGGGCTTGACGTTGTGAAGAGTAACGGGAGGAGGCCGAGAAAGACTCGGCCTGACTCACTCCATCTCGTCTCCTTCCCTGGGGCTCCACAAATGGTGCCAGGACATCCACAAGGGCAGCAAAACCCAGGCTCAGCTCCCCATACCCCATCCCGATAGCACGCAGGAGAACACGCTCCACGAGGAGCAGGGCTGCAACGGCGTCCCACGTCGCATCAAGCGTTTCAGCCTGGTTCACGGGTGGCAAACTGGAAGCCACAACTCACTACGGTCAAGGAGGAAGCCGGTGGCCAGTTAGGGGCCTGGAGACAGCCCTGGTTTGAGCCTCCGCCTCCGGTGGATAAAGTCAAGCTCTTGCGGCAAGAGCTCCTGGCCTGGGCCTGGAGGAAATATTTGAGCTGTCACAAAAGGAATGAGCCCGGCTCAGTGGTAGCTGCGAGTAAACACAGGAGATTAATTTAACACAAAGGTTAAATATAGCCAGAGGAAAGCGGGGGGAAAAAAAAAGGAGGAGGAAGAAATAAAATAAGTTAAACAACAGTTAATTAGAGGTGCTTGTTGTTGGTTCCCCCCTTCCGTCTGCAAAAGGTTTTTGCAGAGCTTGGGCATCTCAGGCTCTGGAATGTGGTTGCGTGCATGTGCTGGGCTTCCCCCCTGCATTCAAGTCATTAAAAACAYGATATTTGCCATTGCATATCACACAAAATTATGATTGATAGAAAACAGATGCCTGAACACCAATCTCATTAAATTTCTTTTTAAGCGATTCCATTCTGCACCCACTCATTTGTATTCCGYGAGCGACATCTGGACCAAATGGACAGGATGTCGGAATTGGTTTTCCTCTCCCCCTCCTGCCCTTTTAACAACTTTAAGGACACAACCTTTACCAGCAGCAGAGCCAAAGGAAATAATTAAGGTGCAAACCGGAGCGGCCACTGGAAGCTGCTCCGAGCGACGGAATTGCTGCYGCTGCCGCCCCGTTCCGCCCTCCTGCTGCCCCGAGCCCTGCAAGCCGAGCAGGCCAGGAGGAGATCTTCAAGCCCAGACCTTTCCTTCCCACCTCGTCTTCCTCGCCAAGACCCCCGTAAGCTGCTCCCTTTGCTATCCAGCTGCATGCCAACCCTCTGTTCCTCATTTGCCCTGCTTGTGGTGGCAAATAATTAGCTGCTGAGTTGCGGGTGTCGCTGGGAAACCTTCAGAGGAGCAGATTGGGACATGCAGAGAGCATCCCTCAACTCTGCTTTCCCTACCTTCAGATTTTTCATCTCCTAAACCCCTTTTCACAGGGAAAAGCTCTACTTAGAGCAGGCCGCCAGCCCCTTTCCAAACATCTCCTTCAAGCTCCTCTTTGCTCTGGTGCCCACGGAGCAGCTGATGGTGCTGGTGGGCAGGTGGCATGTGGCGGCTGCTATTTATTACGCTCAGGGCTGTCTCACCGCTTCGCCTGCACCTTCCTGCGCTTCCCCAGGCACCTGGAGGCTCTCCGAGTATTTTTAGGCTGCAGACTCACCGGGGCGGCTCGTGGCACCAAGGGTTACGGCTGCCAGGCCAAGGAGGGAGAGTTCTCAACCATGCCACAAGCACCAGCCGGTGAGACAGGAGGAGARAAATGTCATTAGAGCCAGAAGGGGAGAGTCTCTCTATGCCACAGAGTCCCACCAGGCCTCTATAGGTGCCCTTGAGGGACCCAAAAGGGAACACGGGTCTTGGAGGACGCAAATGTTGGTGGAGATGGTGGTGGCGGGCAGCAGCCTGTACAGGGATAGAAAGATCGGGAGGAAAGTGCCAAATGTTCATCCACAGGCAGAGGCCAAGCTTGTTTTCTTACACAGCTTAGAGCAAAAAAAAAGGGTGTTTTGCCCCAAGGAGAGCCTCTGTCCCAACACAGTGCCTTGAGGACAGACTTCAGTCACTTCATTGCCTCCCGTCCCCCCAACTCCATCCTTGCCATTAGATGAAAGATACCCGATCCCACTCACAAGACCCAGAGCCAAAAGGCATCTCCAGTTGCCTTGGAGCAAAGGGTTTCCCACAGGTCCCCGTAAGCTCCTGCCTTCATCCCYGACATCCTCACTGAAGCCACGCTCTCGAGCTCCCTGTCCCTGCCAGCTGTCCCTGAGCTGTRTCCCATATTCAGGGATGCAGGCATGGATATTACAAAAATACTGCCCAGTCAGACCTGGTTAATGGGGGTAGAGAAGGCTCAGAAGTTGGCAGCAAACAAAGCTGAAACAAACAAACACAAAAGCCTGGAGAACCGTGTAAAATAAGTCCTGGGACAGTGGGCACTGGGGCACAGGAACCAGTCAGGCACCCTGGTTCCAAGCCCTGCTCTGGTATGTGGTGGGTCCAAATGCCAAGCAGTGCTGGCATCCCCAAAAACGCAGCTCCRTCTACCAGCCAGGCACCTCTGTCCCCCTCCCGCAGGGAGCAGATCCTCCCTGCCACCCACCTGGGCTGCTCATTTTCCAGAGGGACAACCAGGACAATCTGCTTCCCTCCTACCCCCTTAGACCTGAGGATGCCACTAGAGTCAGCTCCTGCTCCTGCTCCTGCTCCTGCTCCTGCTCCTGCTCCTGCTCCTGCTCCTGCTCCTGCTCCACAAGCCCTCTGTCCCACCTTTCTCTGCCTTCGTTTTCTGAGATGCAGGAAACCTAGGGAGGGTCATTACACCAATTGCCCTCATTTGGGATGAAGAGAGTGATTGGGATCAGCTGCTCCACATCCTGCATCCCATACGGCTCATGGGGGCCTCATTTCGCCTTGCACGTTTGGGGCTTTCTACACGTTAATGTCCAAGCACACAGTGCCCGGAGCTGGGCAGCTGAGAGCTCCGGGATGGCCTCGCTGTCCTGCCGCTTCCCTGCACGGATCCGGGCTCGCACCCATGACAGGGCTGCAGGGATCCTCGGCTCCTCCTCGAAGCCCCGCACAAAACCCCTCTCCTTGGCCCCTCTGCACAACCCCATGGGCAGGCGGGTCTGGGAAAGGTGGTGTTCCACTCCTGGCACGCACTGGCATCCGTTGGATGCACTGGATCCTTTAGATCCAAGGACTGACCATTGCAACATCACCCAGCTCCTTCCACTGCTTGGCTGCTCCCATGTTCACCCATGGCCACCCCCATTCTGCCTAAACTCCCTTTTTTCCCATTGATAGAGCGGGATGGGGTGCTGGTTGCTTGGAAAAYATTCCTCTTGCGTGTCCTCATTACAGGAGCTGCAAGTCCGGCTGCTTCCCGGCTGTCCTTTTCTCCTGGAAAACATCTATTCAGAGGGACCACAGTGATTCAGGCGAGTGTGACGGACCGGACAGGGCCCCGCGTGGCTGCAAAGAAGGGCGAGCTCTTCCCTGGGCCCTTTCTGCAAGAAACTGTGGGAAAGAGGTGGGGGGGATTTGTCAGCATGGCTTTGATCTGAAATGCATCATTTTGCAGCCAAAATTGGACCCAGTCCCTCCCTCAAAGAAAATCTAAACAAAATCTGTGTTGGCTTGGTGTGGGGGAAATCGCTTCTTTAAATGCCCTTTTGGGGGGATTCAACAATTTTATTTGACTCAGGCAGCTGGAAAAACTAGTTGTTTTGCTTTGTTTTGTTCTTTTTGCGTAGCCAGACTCATTTCAGAGGCCCTTTGGTATTTTTATCTAATATTGCAAATAGTATGTGGTACCCAGCGAGCGCTTCTGCACTGTGAAGCTCTCTGCAATCTGTTTGCAGGCAGGTGTGGGTGCTCCTGAACCTCCCTCTCTGATCCTGCTCTTTCCCAGCACTTTTCTGTCCCTGTTGGAGAAGCAGCAGCCCTGACACCACTCGGTGCAGATGTCACCGTGGGGGTGACGCCAGTGYGGCCACAGTCCCGGGCTGGGTGGGTTGGTGCTGGCATTGAGCATCTCAGGGGAACCCTGCTCTTCCTGACTCTCCTGCCAAGGGAGTGGGTGCTGCTTTAGCTGGGAGGCACCGAGGTAGGAGCACGGCCTAACTGGGAACGGTTCCGGGTTTATCCCGGTGCCGGGCACTGCTGCCCTGATGGTGGGGCAGAAAAGAGGAAGAAAAAAAGAAAAAAAAGAACAGAACCAGAGCAAAAACTTGTGCTGGGAAAGTTTCAGTGGGGATGAGAACTCCTCTGCAGCCGGTGCCCTGGCGGTGGCTGGAGCGGGTCCGGCTGCAGCGGCTCTGGGATGTCACCCTCACAGCCCCCGTGGCATCCCTGGGATGGAGGCCGGGCCTCCAGTGCCTCCCCGCCAGCCTCCTCGCCCGGAGCCTCGCCGAGGGGTCCCCGTATCCCTCCGCTTGCCCCCATCTCCCCGCCATTCCCTGCTCCGTATGGGGACAGGCCGGACGCCGCCGGCGCCAGCCCCGGGAGCAGGCAGGCTGTAGCAGGTGCTGCCGGTGCCAGGGGCACCCAGCAAAGTGCCACCCACCAGAAAACACCAGGAAAAGCACACCCCTGATATTTTTACGGCTTTGGCTGCAAACCCCGTCTCTGCCCACGTTGCGGCCCCCGCTCCTTCCTCGCCGCGCTCCTTCCTCGCCGCGGCCTCGCAGATGGTGCCCTGGAGACCCACCTGCCTGCTCCGCTCTTGGCTCCCGTTGCCGGCTCCGGGCATGTTCCAGCAGCACGGATCCGCACGGCGGGGAGGGGGAAACGTCCCCCCCTCCTCAGCCCGGCGTGCAGAGCCGGCCCCGCTCCCTCCTCCTCCTCCTCCTCCTCCTCCTCCGCTCCCGCCGCGCCGCACGCCTCTAAGGTGACCTTTCTGATGGGCATCCATGGGCAGCGAGGCCCCAGCCGGGCTCCCCGCGGCTCCGGCGCGTGGGAAGCGGAGCGGTGCCGCGGAGCAGCCCCCGCTCCTGGCCATCCGCTCTATCCGTATCGCTCTTCCCCGGAGCTACCGACAGGGATCGGAGGTGGATTCCCTCCTTCCCCCTCCTTTTTTTTCCTCTCTTTTCTTCTAAATACCTGATGAGTATGGAGACCCCGACGTCCTCGCAGTTTGCGTACACTCTGCTCCATGTCTCCTGAATCACCTTTTTCTCTGCCTCCGAGATCTCCTCACTTCTTTCCCATCTCTCAATCTCCATTTCTCCCTGGACTTTCTCCATGAAAAGCAGCCGGCACGATCCTCCGGGAAGCCAGGAGCCGAGCAGGGATGCGAGCGCGTGCGCGTGCRGCTCCCGGCGAGCAGAGACAAGGTGTTTGCTCGGCGGGCGCGCTCCGAGATTCCGGGATTCGGGAATGGAGAGGAGTATCGTGGCGGCTCAGATGCGCGATCGCCGGGTGCTGCCCATGGCTGTGCGGAGCTCGGCGCAGCTCGGGTGCCTGTCACTGACTGATGGGAAACTGCCGAAAAGTAAAATATTCAAAGGCAGCGCAAGACCAGCCTCTTCTCCAACGTGCGAACGTGAGCTCACTTTCTCTCCCCTCCTCTTCCTCCCCCTCCTTTCGCTGCTGCTGCTGCTTTTTTTTTTCCCCCGAAAGGCAGAGACAGGGAAGAGGCTCTGGGCAACATCAGGACGGGGCGCAGGGGGGGCGATGACGGCAAGTTGGGTGGGTTTTTTTTGGGTTTCTTTTTTTGCTTTCAGCCCTTGTAAACAGCTCGGAGGAAATGCAGGATCCAAAGTGTGCAGTTTAACTTATCCTGACCCGGCTTCCTGCTTTTCCCCTCGTTTCGCAAGCCACTCGCTACAAGAAGCCCACAGGTTTCCAGCAGGATCTTCCCGGCTCATGGAGCAAAGTATCGTCCATCCTGCAGTGACTTCTTTAATTAGTAGATATTGCCCCCTGTTCTTGTTGCAGGAGCAAATTGCAAAGGGATCCAGAGCCAGGGTACCCCTAACAGGAATCTATGGCTGTAATCCCAGGACTGCATCATTCCCAAGAGCATCCTGGATGGGAGCGGGGTACGGGAGTGCCCCTGCATTGGGTTTTCTGTGCATTGCTCTGTGTGTTTGGGTTGTTTCTACCCAAACAATGGCCCCAACTCACCAAAAATGCAGCCGACAACCTCTAGCCCGGGGCATTTGCACGTCGAGAAGGGAGATATTGTGAGAACTGCAATAACCGACGGTCCCCCAGAGGGGACRGGAGGCAAGGAAGGGTCCTGGGAAGGAGTGTGTGAGCACAGACGTGGCCATCGGGCTGTCCAGCGGACAGACGGACCAACACAGCGGCAGCCGCACCACAGACCTGTATGGGATGGGCCGGGCGGCAGCACCAAGACACTCATTCGGGATCCGTTCATCCTTGCATCCCTGCTTGAGGAGACAGGGAAACGGCACCGCGTTCAAACACAGTTTGAACCCGGAGCAAAACTGCAATGCAGTGCTAGCCCATTTGGGAAGGAACGACTCAAATTGTGACAAACAGGAGGGCTCAGGCAATTACCTAGGTAGAGTTGCTAGTGTTTGCTGCCTGCTTAAAGAGGACGGGCTCTTCTTTTAGCCGCTCGGATCTGGGACGAGCCCTTGGCGCTGCCCATAGCCTGGCGCTGGTACCTGTTAAACTCAGCTGCAGGCTGCTGGTACATGTTAAACTCAGCTGCAGGGCRCTGGTACATGTTAAACTCAGCTGCAGGGACGCTTTGCCCCCCTCATCGCCTCACCGCTTCCCTGCTCGCAGCGGGGAATGTACTTGGCTCCCGATGCTCGAGTGGGAGGTGAAGGCAAAGAAAGGAGGCTCCAGCTCCAAGGCATGTGGGATGTGGCTCATGGCTCATCCCCTGCCTTGACTCTACTCACYGCCTGCAAGCCGCGAGCCCCACATCCGAGCCCTCTCCACCGCACACGTCCAGGSAACCCAAGTGGGAGCAATGCTGCTGTGTAAGCGACTGGAGGCATCGGCGTGAGGAAGCCCAAGGTGGCTGCAGGAGCCTCCCTGACTCCTGCCTCCTCCTCCCTGGAGCGCGCAGGGCGGGAGGTGAACTCCCTGCCGTGGCTTTTGGCCATTTTTCTCCCATCCTGTGGGGTGTCCTTCCTCCTCTGTCCTTTGTGTCCCCTCGGGGAGCCCACCAAGCCTGGAGATGCTGGAGCYGCCACCCCGAAAGCTGCTGCCCGGCTCGCTCGGCATCACCCGCCCTGCTGCAGTGCTGCTCACTCGCACAGCCCGGCCACCGGCTGCGGAGCCCTGGCCTGGGGAGGAATAACAAGAGTTTAGGACATGGCTTTGCAGCGCGCGCTTCAGCCAGCCGCCCGGGGAGGCGAGGATTTAGCCTAAAGCCTCTGCAAATGCTCCGCATTTATTGCACGTTTCCTTCCCTTGCCTTCTTGGCTCCCGGCGGAGCTGCGTGCAAACCTGATGCTCCAGCAGCGCTCTGCCCATGCGCCCCGGCTTTTCCAGCCGCCAGCACAAGGAGGAGGACACGACGGGGTGAGATGGGGCTGGAAGAGCCACCGGGATCCGTGGGGATGAGGCTGAGGTTGCAGCCCATGAGAGGGGCCCCCGCTCCCATGGGATGCTCCTGGGTCATCCGGCACCATGGCTGCTCTGCTGAGGACATGGGCTTAGGATGCCCTTTGCAAAGGGGGCCGTGTTGCAAGGACACCCCAGTGGACATTGCAGGGACATCACTGCCGATGGTACTGGAAAGGGCTTGGATGAAGGACTAGGATGAAGCCCCATGCCAGGGCTGGGCTTTGGTCATGTTGGTCCCCCTGGGCACAGGTGAGGGCCACGAGTGAGATCAGCAGGAACACAGCCTGCCCAGGGCCTCCTCAGGGCTTGTCTCAGCTTTTCCTCCCCAAAAAACAGAAACCAAAACCCCACACAATAAAACGATACACAATAAAACAAAAACAAAACAATAAAACAGAAGAGCTGCATGCAGAGACCTGCTGTGGGTGCCCAGGCCCCGGGGGTGCTGACCACAAAGGCGACCCGGGGACTGTTGCAAACCCTCCAGGGCCACCCTGAGGCTTYGGGAACCAAAACTCGGTGACGGAACCCACATCCCAGCACGGAGGGGAGCGAAAGGGCTGGCGGGAGGGGGCGGCTGCAGCGGCGGGAGAGGAATTGGCCGCCGTGCAGCCCCGCGCCAGAGYCACGGACGCGGCCAGAGCTGTCAGCCAGCCCCGTCAGCCCTTATCGAGGGTGACAGGGTTGCGGGGAAACAAGTTGCCGCTTCCAAACCGATTCTCCTGSCTGCTCTTTTGCTTTCTGAAGCCGGCCTGACCGTGGCAGGGGTTGCTGAGGAAAACCAGCAAGTTAATGTATTCATGTCATCTTGCATTTGGTGCTAGGACATGAAGTAAACACTGTCAGGGACCTAGCTCAGGTTCAAAGACAAATCCTGCTTCTTATTCTGCTCACATTATCCATGCTCCCCATACAGATTCATTGATTCATATCTTAAAAAGCAAAGCCTTCAAAACCCATTAAGTCTGGCTTGCCATGCCAGCCCTGCTCTCAAGGGCTAGGGCAAGAAGCATTAACTAATCTGCTCACATTACCTTGCCTCCRAACCAAGTATCTCTCCGTGCCAATCAAGCATGTTGGGAACTGATATGCTCCAACACAGAGCRAGCTTCAGCCAGCAGCTTCACGGAATGCCAAACGAGCAGGAGCAGCAGCTCCCACATTGGCCCCAGGTGGGCGAGCTGCTTTCACTGGGCTCCTGGGACACCTGCGGAGGTGTCTGGATCCCGGAGAGGCTCCTGGATCGTTTCTGCGGGACCAACACCTCCAAACTGTGGACACGTGAGGACTGCCCCTGTTATGGTTCTCCCGTGTGCTGCTTGTTCTTGGTGACTTGGAGGCAGCTGGGCACAAGAAGGGACCACAGCAGGGCCATTTCTGGTGCTGGTCCCAACTAGGCGGGACYGAGGGCTGAGGGGCTCTCCAGCAGCCACGCTGCCTCCTGCCAGGGAGAAGAAGGTCCTTTCAGCCTCCAGCTCAGGTGGCAGTTGCTGGGTTTGGGCTCCAGCAAGGGATGCTCCCGGGAGCGCTCCGGGCCGCTCCAGGCCAGCATGTTACGCAAGGCCCCCTTTGCRCTCTCCAGCCCTTCGTTCTGCTTGGGAAGAAATTATTCACCCTTGCTCCTGGCTGGAAGAACATTGGAGATGTTTCCTCCACRGCGCTCCCAGAGGCTCCGTCTTCCCACCCTGCTGGTGCCAGCACTGAGGCTCCTCCGACAGCCCCTTCTGACCTCCCAGTTCAGGGAACAGAGCTGTTTCCTGCAGGGGCTAAGGGGGATTTCACTTTGCCGACCTTTCCAAGGCTGTTGTTTTCCAGACCCGGAGACGCTGTTGCCACTGTGTGGGGATTAGTCACTGACTTGGGCTTGGGGGGCGTCTCCAGGCTGGGCTGGACGTGCATCCAAAGCCAGGCTCTTCTGACGGGATCACTTATTGAACCTGGGCGGACCTAGGATGCTTGTATTTGGTCCTTGGTTTCAAAGGTGGGTTTGTGGGTTTTCCCTCTTACTGARGTGTCTTTTCTGGTTGTTCTTTTTTAATCTAAAGCCCCAAAGCTGCTGGACTCCAACAGATGAATTTGGGATCGGAAAGGGCTGAAGCACCTCCCTGCCCATGGCCAGAAGCAGCAGGAAGGGCAGGAAGAAATGAGGCTGTTCAGATGAGACTTGGAAAACAAGCTCCGGGGTGTGGGAAGGGGCTGTGGGGCCAGAGGGCAGAGCTGTCTGTGCTTCCCTGGGGCTGGACCAGGGAGGAGGAGGAGGCTGCAGGGAGGGCAGGATGCAGACAAGGTCTTGGGATCAGCTGGCTGAGACGCATCCATGGGGAATTACACGCAGGCCTGAGCCTGTCAGCTTAGCGGAGACGGGAAAGGGGGGAGCGGATAGGCGGGAGGAGGGAAAGCAGGAGAAAGGGAATGCACAGGAGCGGGGAGATGGAATGACAGGGCAGGGGGACGTTGGGCTCAGTGCTGGGAGGGAAGGCAGGGAGATGGGAGCCGGGGTGTGCAGGATGGGGATGAGCTCAGTCCACTAGGAATAACCCTGGGGCCATCCCGGCCGTGGCCAATGGGTCAGTGGGCAAGCAGGAAGGGCACCCGGGAAGCCAAAACCACTTAAGTGCTCAAGGCTCCCCGGGCCAGCGCTCTGCTCCCTCCCACCTGGAGGTCAGAGAGAAGCGCTCTCATTTGCTGCCTCTTAATTACATCTGATCCCGCTCTAATTCCTCCTAAACCCGGTCTGGAGAGTGTGCGGCTGCAGGCGAGAGCCGGGGCCCCCCGCGGGCACCCCGCGGGCGCCGGCAGGGATGTGAGGCGCCGCGCGGGCATGGAGCGAGAGCCATGTGCACCACGGTCCTGCTCATCGGCACGCTCGTCGTGATGCTGCGGCGCCGCTTCTGCAACAAAGTCGAGCCGTACGTCCTGCCCCTGCCCTTCCCGGCTCCCCGGGGACCCTCGGGCGGCGACGGGAGGGCTACGCGAGGCCTGGGCGGCGGGAGGATC